CTCAAATTCTCGACGTCGTCGTCATCGTCGTCGTCGTCGTCTCGTCGTGGTCGTCGTCGTCGTCATCGTCGTCGTCGTCGGCGTCGTCGTCCCCCTTGATCGCATTGTCCGTGTCGTCGTCATCGGCGTCGTGTTCGGCATCTTCATTGTCATCGCTTCGGGAGGGGGTTCGGATTTTGGCGCGGTTGCGCCGACCCAGGGGAACGGGCCAGCCCGCCCGTCAAACGCTTCTTTCACCCCCCCCCCGCTACGGCGAGGTTTGAAATTACTCAGGCAGCATGGCAAAGAGTCCGCGCATCCAGCGGAGGCGACGAGGACTCCCCAAGAGGGCGCGGGAAACCGGGAGGCCCGACGAAGAGCAGCGCACCGCGATGGGGGATTTCCCCGGGGCACCGGTACATGCGTCTATACAAGGCCTGATTCAACGCGTCGAACTGCTCCGTGTTCTTCCGCAGGAAGGCCACCCTCCACGCCGTGGTCCGAAGGAGCGCGAACGGCCTCAGCTCCAAGCCATTGAGGCGCCTCGTGGAAAAAGTATCGGGGCTCAAGCTTCCTGATATCCAACCACCCCTCAAGGCGACAATGGTATGGATGACACGTCCGCAAACCCCTTTCAGTCGCCCTCGGAGGGAAGGATCCCGTATTCTGCCACCCCCCTCTGCCCTCCTCCTCCTCCTCCCCCTCCTCCTTCTCCTCCTCCTCCACCTCCCTCATCTTCCCTTCATCCTCCCCCTCCTCCTCCTTCTCCTCCTCCTCCCTCCTCTTCCTCCTCCTCCTCCTCCCCTTCCTTCTCCTCCTCTTCCTCCTCCTCCTCCTCCTCCTCCCCCTCCCCCGACCCTTCAAATGCGCTGTCCCCAAATTCCCGACCTTTTCCCTGGGGCCGTTCTTTCGCCCCGGGGAATTAGTTTCTTGAAGGCCCCGGGGCCCGACGAGGGCCCCCGGGGGCCGAATGTCGCCAAGAACCTCGACCTTCCAGCGATGGCACCTAAGGCGCAGCAGAGTACGGCCAACAAAGTGTGCCAATTTCCCCCTCCCTCCCCCTCTGCGCCGGGTGGAATATGAAGAAACGTGCGTGCCGCTAAAATAAAAAAACCATGCGGGCAATCATCAAGTGAACATCCTGGCTCTGGCATATGTTTCTGGATGGGCTGGCGATGACACGCGAAGCGCGTAGAATTTGAGGCGTCTTCGCTTGCACGCCGTCCTGCTGCGCAACTGGGCGGCGCGTCCAAGTCTTGTTGGCAGACAACTGCGGAGGCGCCCAACTCTGCAGCTCCATGGCCGCCAAGTCCTTCGCCGACGTGTCGAAGAACTCATCGGCTTGCAACCAGGCCAAGACGTCGCGCTGTAGCTCCCCTTGCATGAACACGGCGTCACCGTGGACCCCATTCAGAACCATGCTCCCGTTGTGCTGGCATATCTGCAGGCCCGGCCTCCTCAAACGCGCAACTACGAGGACGTCCCCCGCCTCGCCATTGCCGAGGACTTCCGTGGTGACAAGTGGTGCCAACTTCATGTCGAACTCGCCTTTTGCGAGGACAGGGTCCAACAAGCGCTTGAGGAGTGCGCTGCACGCCCACTTTGTCCGAGGACCAGCGAAGTGAACGGAGATGTCTGCCCGCCCCGTTGATGTCGCCGTCACGGTAGAGTGAGCTTCCACGATGTTGGCAGCCTTCTTCAATTTCGCGGACGTCGGCTTGGGCTGAAAACGAAGTATCCACGAGCCATGCTCCTCAGACCATGACGCCATCCGGTCACGAGGCTGCTTCGCGAAAACATGTCGGACCGCCCCGTTTCAGCGCGCGTCGAAGGCCCCTGCGCCGTTCCATTTCGATGCGGCGGGGGAACAGGAGGGGGGGCGGGAAGAAAGGGGGGGGGGGAAGGAGGGGGGTGTAGGACAGCCAAGGGGGGGAAGGGAAGAGGGAGAGGGGGGGGGGGCGGAGGAGGGCGGGCTGACTCGTGTTTGGACAAGGTCCTGGGGCTTCCCGGGACCCGGGGGCAGCCCCTCGTCCCCCTTCTCCGTCTCCCTCCTCCTCCTCCTCCTCCTCCTCTTTTTCCTCCTCCTCCTCCACCTCCCCCTCCCCTCTCCCCTCCTCCTCCTCCCCCTCCCCCTCTCCTTCCTCCTCCTCCTCCTCCTCCTTTTCCTCCTTTTCCTCCTCGTCCTCCCGTCTCCTCCCTCTCCTCCCTCCTCTCCTCCCTCCTCCCCTCCTCCTCCTCCTCCTCCTCCCCCCTCCCCCTCCCCCCCTCCTCCCCCCCCCCTCCTCCTCCTCTTCCTCCCCCCCCCTCCCTCTTCCACCATTCCCCCCCTCCCAGGGCCCCGGTCCTTCGGCGACAGGCCTCGGGGAGCAATTCCTCTCGGGACCCCTTTTGCTCAGACACCCGACGGCTCGATTCTGTTGAGGCGTGGGCCCCAAAGTTCCCTCGATTCGATCCCCGGGGGCGGGCTCCTCCGACCGTTTCCGCTCTGGCCACGAGGCCCTCGCCAAGCGAGTGCGTGCCCGCGACCCCGCCAGCCTGCTGGAGCCAAAAATGGCTGCAGATGCCACCCGTCCTTGCGTGGACGCCTGCGGCGCGGACACGACGGTTCCGGGGCCAGGGGGCGGCCTCCAGAGGCCGAGGACGTCGAAGACCGCCCGCTGCGATTTTGTGTGGTGTCGCCCGATATGGAAGGTCAAGTTGAAAACGGTCCTAGGAAAGGACATCTGGGGGCCGCGTATTGAGCAAGTCAAAGCACCGAATGTCGGCTTGGTGACTCGAATGGCTTCCGCGTTGGCCATCGCCGATCAGAATGCTCCGCCATCGACCCATAAATAACGGGGAACACGGGAGGCCGAGGGGGGAGAGGAACGATTTGCTTTTTTTTTGGACGTAGCGGAGGGAAGGAAGGTAGGAGTGAGGACTGAGTCCTCCTCCTCCTCCTCCGCCTCCTCCCTCTCTTCCTCCTCCTCCTCCTCCTCCTCCTCCTCCTCCCTCTCTTCCTCCTTGTTCCTCCTGCTCCTCCCCCCTGTTCCTCCTCCTCCTCCTCCCCCCCTCCCTCCCTCCCTTTTTCCCTCATCCCCTCCCTCCCTCACTCTCGCTCCCTCCCAATTCCTCCCCCCGCGTATTCCCTCTCCGGGGGTAGTTTTTCATCCCGGATCCGTTCCTGATGGCTCTGAGGGCCCGAAAACGGGCCAAACGGCGAGAGGTCTCCTCGAACATCGAGCTTGGAAGTTCGACAAGAAATCGAACAAAAAACATCGAAGAGGACGACGACGCCGAAGACGACGAGCCGTCGACGCCGCCCCCCCGCCGGAATTACTTTGAATGGTTTGAGGGAGTTTGTTTTGTGAACTCACGGATTCTGGAAACGGCGCCAAACGGCGGGATCCGGGAAAATCCGCGAAGAATTCCAGGGGCGCCCTCGCGAAGAATTCCAGGGGAATCCCCGGACCCCCTTCCAAGAGGCCTCCCGAACGGTTATGGGGGGTCCACGGGAGGACGGGGGAACCCGGGGAACCCCGCCAACCACCCCCCCGGTCCCGGAACAACGCCAAGCGGCGCGATCCGGGAAAATGCGCGAAGACTTCCGTGGGCGCTCTCGCTTGGGACCACCGCCGCCGCCGCCGCCGTCGTCGTCGTCGTCGTCGTCCTCGTCGCCGTCGTCGTCGTCCTCGTCGCCGTCGTCGTTTTCTTCGTCGCCGCCGCCGCCGTCGTCGTCCTCGTCTTCCTCCTCGTCGTCGTCGTCGCCGCCGCCGCCGTCGTCGTTTCAAGGAGTCGAGTGGGTCGAGTTTCAAGGAGGGGGTCACGCCGAGGTTCGAACCTCGAGCTTCGAGGGTCGATGTCCGAGGCTTCCTGGCCTCCAGGGGCCCTCCTCCTCCTCCCCTTGCTCCTCCTCCCCCTTCATCACCCCCCTACTCCTCCCGCCCGCCGAATGGACATCATGGTGCGCGTGACGATTCCCCAAACAGCTTGCTGAACGGGGTGCTGTTGTGATAGAAGCTCGTTCCGGCCGAAGACCGGTGGACCATAGACTTCCTCTCAAAGAATGGGTGGTCCGGGCCGTTTCGCCTGGGACATCCTCGCAACTCTCGTTTCTGAATTGTCCGGGATTGGGCGTTTCGCTTGAGACATCCTCGCAACTCTGGGCTCAGGGACGCCGCGCGCGTCCTCAGGCCGCGGGCGGCACCCCGACCTCTCGGGGCGCGCCGCTCGGGCTCCCGCCGCGCCGCGGCCTCGGGCCGCGAGCGCGCGCCCGCAGGTCGTCGTCGTCGAGGAGAAGGAGGAGGGAAAGGGAGTAGGAGGAGGAGGAGGGAGGAGGAGGAGGAGGAGGAGGAGGAGGAGGAGGAGGAGGAGGAGGGAGGAGGAGGGAGGGAGGAAGAGGGATGAGGAGGAGGAGGAAGATGAGCGGGAGAAGACGAGAAGGAATACGTTGCAGGAGTGGCGGTGCAAAAAATAAGAAACGGAGAAAGAAGATGACGACGACACCGTCAACGAAAATTCGGCGACGACGGCAATGGTAACGACGAGGGCGGGGGCCGACCAGGAGCAGGATAACGGCGATGGTCCGGGGACTCGCGCACACCATTTTGGAACCGCCCTGGTCACCCTGGCATTAATAAACGCTGTTTGGGGATACTGGACTCTGGCAATAATATGTTTTGTTTTTCCCTGCAGCAGCTATTCATCCATCTGGGCCTCGCGCGCAGCCAGCGCCTCGGCTCTGGATACGTCTTTATAGAATTGCGCGCCTCTGTGGCTGAAGGAGTATCGGTGGTGAGACAAATCCAGGTTGTGCGCCGACCGGAGGTAATGAAACGCCGACAATGGTATTCTACCACCGTCTGGGACGGCGGCCGACCCAGCTTCCATTGTGACTGGCCAAGCTAGGAAGTCCGCGACAGGGACAAAAACTGGGCCGCGCCCGTGCCCAAATGCACGGGGTCGAAGCGGGCTCCACGTGCCGAAAAGGTTGACTTTGGTGCCGTGCTTTTCTGGCCTGGGAACGGGCCACCACGCGGTCGCTACCGCAACTTGTGCCTCAAGTCGCTCGCGCACTACGCGTAACATCTGCCCGACTTGGATGGGGCATCCCGCGTGGGCGCAGCGCCAAATGGCGAACGCGCCGTCCTCGCATGCACTTTGGCAATGCCCGACGGAACCGCCGACGTCGTTGCCCACGCTCATGAGCTGCTGTGGGGGCGCTAAATGCTCGCTCCCATGGGGTGCTACAGAGACAGCGAGATCGACGACCCTCTGGGGCAGGCCGACAAGGTTCGAATTGCCTGGCCCATCGGTCGCCCCGCGCATTCCACTCAGTATTTGCGCGAGGTGAATGCTTGACGGTAAGAAATCGGGCAATTCGTGGCGGACCAATTTCACGCAATGGTCGATGTGTTCAACCTCGCTTGCTGGTCGCTGGGCTTCCAACAGTACCGCTTTCAGCTTATGTAGCCAACGGGCGGAACCTGTCTCAAAGCCGCGCGCCCATCCTGGGCCGAGCTTGCCGGGCCAAACACCACGGAGCTCATTCACTTGCGCCCGAGTGCACAACTGCATTGCTGGCGCCCAGCTCTCACTCGTCATCCACGCTTTGTTTTGCAGCGTAAGCGCCCCGTCGCGGCCCCAAGATATGCGAATGTGGTGCGGCGCGCTGGCGCCCCTGATGGTAGCCGGTGCAAGGTAAGCAGGCTGCGCATTCAGGGGGCCCTGCGCGTTCTCCACCTCCCCGAGCTCCAGAGGAAGGGGGGGGCGCGAATGAAGATCGGGGAGTAGCGGGGAGAAGGGGCATTCGACATCCCGGAGCCTCTTTAAAATCCCACAGGTCCCTCAAGTGCTTCCCGTGCGGCGGGTGTCTTAATCTCCTGGATAATATGGCGAACAGCTGCGGCAGGGACAGGGCGTCTTCGCCAGCGAGCGCCTTGTTTATATGGAAGAATATCGCATCCTTGATGTCGTGCGCGCGCCCGACAACCAAGAAAACAAGCTCGACGCTTTCCAGCCGAGTGCCCTCTGCGTGCGAAAGCAGCCAGGCGCAAGCAAATATCATAATCGTGTTCTTTGTTTGTCTCCTTAGACGTGTTGTCGGCATTCAAGCAAAGCCGCCTTGGCAGGCGCCCGATCGCGCCCACTGCTTCCTTCAGCGTGTCCACGAGCAGAGCGCAAGCCATATTGGGGCCGCGCGCATAATCCTCCAACAAAGTGTATATTAACGGCCGTTTTCCCAACACCGCTGGCGCCCACGCGCAGATCAATGACGCGACCAAGCGATCGCCCTGCTTATGGAAGGGCGTGTTAATGAGGGCCCTCACCCTCGGAAGTATTGTCTTGCCCTGGTCCATCTTGTCCCAGCCGATCACTAGAAGTCCACGCGGATTCCGAATGCTCTCCTGGAAAAGATTGTCGAGGTACAGACGTTGCTGGCCCTGAAACTCATAATGGGCCCCAAGTGTCAAAAGAAGCTGATATTTGATACTTTGGTCTGGCGACGTCTGGATCATCATCTTCAGGAAATCGCACAAGCCGCAGCTCGAGAACTTCCCGCGTGCCGACGGCAGCACTATGAATGGCAAGTCAACGCGCCAGGCCTTCAAAAACGTGCCCAGGCTCGGTGGCTTGGCCCAGCCCCGACGCTCACAATCGCAGCGGAATATAGAATAGTATTGCTGTTTTGTGCCGCTGGGCAATAACAATTTATCTTCTAAGGGCGACGCGTCTGCGCGCACCTTCGCGAAATCGAGTAGCCAGGCCCGACAGCCCCTGTAGGCGAGTGATCTTTCACTCACCCATCTTCCCAACGAAAGCGGCGCGATGCCGAGTGCGAGCTTCCAGGCCCTTTGGAGCCCATCGGCGTGTATGTCCGTGATCGCAATGAAGGCTTCTCGGCAAACCTCGCGCCCCAAGACATGGAACTTCGTCTTGAACTCGCCCCCTCGCCCGCCATCTCCTTCGAGCGACGGAATAGATCGCTAGTCTATGATCCCGGTCACATTTTGGCAGAGCGTACCAGAGCTTCATCCACATCAACACGATCTGAGGTGATCCCACGAATGCGTCCATGCACGTATGCTGTTGGCCTCCGCGTCCACATTTCTTATGGAGAGCGCCCCAAATGCGTTTCATGTCCAACTTTGGCACCAACCTTCTGGACTTCGCGAATGCTTTGGGTTTCTGTTCTATGCTGCCGTGTTTAGACAAGTGCCGCTTCATTAGTTTGTATTCTGTGTCTCGTGCTATGCCCTCGGCAATCTCAGCCTGCTCCCACTGGCATAACTTCAACGCGGACCGCCAGTGTAGAACTTGTTTGGTGTGATCAAGGACGGTTCCCTCGGCGATGATATTCAGATATTCAGAGGTTCCACAACAGGCGCGACCTCCGAAATTGCATTCCTGTCAGTGAACGGGTCCCATGATTTCAACGAATCCCATGACGAAAACAATTTTTCTGTGTTGGTGCTATCAACTGCCTCACTCTCCAGAACGATTGCGTCGTCGTCGGGCTCTTCATCGACGCCCGCCTCTTTCCCGCCACACTCCAGCGCGCTTGGCAAAGTGGAAACGAGCCAATCGGCTTCGGCGTCCCTGCAAACCCGCACGCCC